AATCCAGCTTATTCAGTTCCTCTATCTGGTTCTAAGCATAGCCAGATAACATTACCACAGAAGAATACAACCACTCCAACACAAAAACAGAACCTGATAGACTACAGGAGACAGAACAATTTATGTTTTAAGTGTGGTGAAAAGTTTGTTCCAGGCCATCAGTGCAAAGCAAAACAGTTGAATATGATGATTGAGGATGAAAATGTCCTACCTTCAGAAATTTTAGCTAATGATCCAGAACAGCAAAATTTACAAGAGGAAGAGAGCCTAGAAATATCTATGAATGCCATTACTGGATGCATTGGTCATAATACACTGAGGATTCAAGGAACAATTCAAGGGAGACCACTGAATATACTAATTGACAGTGGGAGTACCCACAGTTTTTTAACCCCTCAATGGGCTGAGACTGGTATACAGATAAACACTCTTCATCCTCTGGCTATTACAGTAGCTAATGGGCAGCAACTCTATAGCTCAGCAAGGTGTAATGAAGTGGAGTGGAAGATGCAAGGGCACTCTTTTATACATGATTTCAGACTACTTCAGTTGGGGGGCAGTGATATGGTGTTAGGGGTGGATTGGATGAAATTGTTTAGTCCAATCTTGATGGACTTTAATAACATGACAATGAGCTTTGTGCATAAGGGGAAGCAAATTACTATACAAGGTCAACAGCAATCAAATTTTTTGCAGCAAATTTCAGGAGCTACCTTATTGAAGATGACAGCTTCTGATTATCCTATTTTGGGACATGTAGTATTTTCAATATGTGTGAAGATTCCAAGATTACTCCTACAGCTATTCAGCCTCTTTTGGATCAATATCACTCTATTTTTGCTGAACCTAAAGGACTGCCTCCTACAAGGAACCATGACCATGCTATTCCTCTTAAACCTGAAGCTACCCCTATCAATTTAAGACCCTACAGATTTCCTTATAATCAGAAAGCTGAGATAGAGAAGCAGATTGCTAATATGCTTTCCTCCTCTGTTATTCAACCAAGCAAAAGTCCTTTTGCTTCTCCATGTCTTTTAATAAAGAAGAAAGATGGCACTTGGAGGTTTTGTGTGGATTACAGGAAACTAAACAGTATGACAGTGAAGGATAAATTTCCTATTCCTGTTGTAGAGGATCTACTGGATGAATTACATGGAGCAGTCTATTTTTCTAAGATTGACTTAAGGTCTGGTTATTGGCAGATCAGAATTAAGCCTGAGGATATCTACAAGACAGCTTTCAGAACTCATCAGGGCCATTATGAGTTCAAGGTAATGCCCTTTGGGCTTACTAATGCCCCTGCCACATTTCAAGCCTTAATGAATGAATTATTTAGTTCATTCTTGAGAAAAATTGTCTTAGTATTTTTTGATGATATCCTAGTCTATAGTACTTCTATGGCTGATCACATCATTCATTTACAATTAGTTCTGGAAGTTTTAAGAACTAATCAATTATTTGCCAAGATGTCTAAATGCTTCTTTGGGCAGACTCAAGTTGAGTACTTGGGGCATATTATTTCAGCTTCTGGGGTTTCTACAGATCCTACTAAAGTGGCAGCTATGAAGAATTGGCCTATGTCAAAATCTTTAAAATCTTTGAGAGGTTTTTTGGGATTGACAGGATATTACAGAAGGTTTATAAAGAATTATGGTACCATCAGCAAACCTTTGACTCAGATACTTAAGAAGGATAGTTTTAAGTGGAGTACTGAGGCCCTAACAGCTTTCGACAATCTGAAGCATGCTATGTGTATTGCCCCTGTGTTAGCACTACCAGATTTTGGGAAGAGTTTTTACTTAGAAACATGTGCTAGTTCAGGAGGAATTGGGGCTGTATTATCTCAGGAGGGTAGACCTATTGCCTACCTTAGTAAGGCTCTTAGCCCTAGACATGCTGCCCTATCTATATATGAGAGAGAATACCTTGCTATTCTAATGGCAGTATCTAAATGGAGACATTATTTAGAAAGCAGTCCTTTTATCATAAAGACTGACCATGAACCTCTCAAATATTTGTTGGAGCAGAAGTTAACTACTGCCATTCAGAAAAAAGGACTGACTAAATTATTGGGGCTGGACTATTCTATTCAGTATAGGAAGGGAAAGTCCAATGTGGTTGTTGATGCTCTTTCTAGACAGTGGGAAGATCAAGGTCAGTATATGGCTATGGGTACTACTTTAATAATTCCTAGTTGGGTACTGGAAGTGGAAGACAGCTATAAAGGGGATAAAATGGCAACTGAGTGGTTATCTATATTACCAGTCAATCCTAATGCTGACCCTAGGTGGACATATTCTAAGGGTATCCTTAGATTCAAGGGCAGGGTTTATATTGGGGGTATTGGACCTCTAAGATTACAAATTCTTCAACTCTTACATGATTCACCTTATGGGGGACATTCTGGAATACAAGCTACTTATCAAAGGATTAGGGCAAATTTTTATTGGCCTAAGTTGAAGGCTATGGTGGCAAATTATGTTAGAGGATGTCAAGTTTGTCAACAGACTAAAGTTGAACATGTTCCTAAACCAGGACTCCTACAACCATTGCCTATTCCCCAACAGGCTTGGGAGATTATTACTATGGACTTCATAGAAGGCTTACCTACATCTCAAAAGAAAAATTGCATTTTGGTGGTAGTTGACAAATTTACTAAGTACAGCCATTTTCTAGCCCTATCACATCCTTATACAGCTGCTGATGTAGCCAAATTATATTTGGATACTGTTTATAAACTTCATGGCCAGCCTAAAATGGCCATTTCTGACAGAGACAAGACATTCACCAGTCTCTTTTGGAGAGAACTGATGAAGCAACTAGGTACTAAAACTCTATTTAGTACTGCATACCACCCAGAGACTGATGGTCAGACAGAAAGGGTGAATCAGTGTGTGGAACAGTATTTGAGGGGCTTATGTTTCTTTCAGCCAAAGCAGTGGGCTAAATGGTTGCCACATGCGGAGTGGTGGTATAATACTACCTATCACACAGCCCTTAAACTTACACCATTTGAGGCATTGTATGGCTACAAGCCTCCTACTATGGTTTGGCAGACAGAGACTAATGTGCAGTCTGTTAGTGCCTTAATGAGGAGTAGGGAGGATATTAGACAGTTAGTGAAGCTACAATTGGAGCATGCAAGTAACAGAATGAAACAAAACACAGACAAGAAACGAACAGAAAGAGTATTTGCAGTTGGAGATACTGTTTACCTGAAATTGCAACCCTACCGTCAGACTTCGTTGGCCCTGCGCAAGAATTTGAAGTTAGCAGCAAAGTACTACGGCCCCTATACAGTTATTGAAAAGATTGGTGAAGTCGCGTATAAGTTAGACTTACCAAATTCTTCTAGATTACATCCTGTTTTTCACGTGAGCCTTCTGAAGAAGCACATCGGGGATTCAAGTGTCTCTTCAAGGGACCCTCCTGCCATGGATGATGATGGACAGATTAGAATCGAGCCATACAGGATTATGGGTCGATGAATCATAAACAGACAGAACAAACCTGTAACTCAGTTGCTTGTGCGTTGGAAGAACCTCGATGAAACCAGCGATACATGGGAAGATTTTACTGTTCTTCGAGGCCAATTCCCTAATTTTGATCCTTGGGGACAAGGATCCTTTCCAGCGGCGGGTATTGTTACAGTCGGAGGAGATGTGCGAGGAGATGAGCGGGGAAGAGAAGAAGAAATTGGGGAAACAATTGGGGAAAATAGAGAGTTAGGGTTAGGGATTGAGGCTCGAGAGGGAATTGAAGAAGGGAATTTAGGGATTGAAGGAAGAGAGAGGGATATGAGGCGTTTACCTGAGGGAAAGGAGTTATCTGATATTGGTTCAGGCATATTGGACCAGCCCAAGTCTTCAGACGGGAGAAGTGAAGCAGTCCAGTTAGGTGGCCCAACAAACCTGCAAGGAGAGAAGATATAATCTGTTATAGGTTGTTATTAGTACAGACAGCTGGCCTATTTTAAAATGACGTTTGTAGCCCTGTAACTAAATAATACTGCTGTAGAATCACTATGCTTTCTATGTTATGAATGACAAGTATTTTCTTCTCTGAATTCTCTCTAAATTTCTCTCTATTTCTCTTATCTATTCTTCGATTTCTCTTCTAATCATCTCAAACCACAACAGATAATTGAAGGACATTTATAGTAAGCTGGTCACCACAAGTTATGGTGTTAACTAAAATTCGTTTCCTTTGCACATGAAGGGAAAGCAAAAAGATCTCAGAAATATTCTTGGTCAAAATTAACATTTTTTCTTAATTGAATCTTTAAATTTATTTTAAATTCATATTCTTGACAATTTTATCAATTTTTTATTTTTCGTATGCGAGTATAATATCAAAATGATTTAAAATTTAAATTTAGAGAATAATATAAATACAAAAAGTAAACTTTAAAATGGTCACTAAAATACTAGTAAAAAAATTAACAATGAAATTTTAAAAATAATAAAACGATTATTAAGTACCATTATTTATAATAAATCGAACACACGACCGTGTTGAAGTGTCACCATTCGTCCGTATTAAATCATTTAACTGGTTGTTTGACTCATTTTAAAATAAAATATATGTAAATTCTACCGTCCAAAAAAATTAGATTCATCTTTTTCTTAAAAACATAATTCAGAAATCAAATTTAAATTTTTAATATTTAAAATAATACGGAAATCAATAACATGTTTAAATCTTTTACTTATAGTATATAACCTTAGCCGCCATATTTTTCTAATGAAAACAGAAGACAAAATGTGATTATATCATTTACTCCCCTAATGAACGAACTACCATGCCCAATCAGCATGATCTGGTACACTTAGGATTCTTCCTTCAAGGATATAAAATTTTTTTAATTAATAAGATAATTATTTAATACATAAGATATTAATTTTTTACTTTATCAAACATAAATTTTAAAATTCCCTATCAACTTCAATCTTAAAAAATTAAGCTATAAAGTGCAAACGTTGACATTAACAACAAAATATTAGATGAACTATAAAAGAATTGTTTTTTATTTCTATTTTTACCACCCCCTTCCTCACTACCAAAAAAAATGAATGAATAAATTTATAAATAAAAAGAAGCAATGTAGATGCAAGAATGCAGCAGCAGAAGACAGAAGAGGAATGAAATACTTAAGGCTTCATATGTAGACTAACTCCCTGAAGTAAAGCAACTGACCATATTCTCTATAGGAAAAAGTGCATACTCGTCGGGATACGATCACGATTCACGACACCATATGTTCCGACCTGCTACCTGTCTCGAAAATAAATCCCGACCTTTTTTTTTGGGGTTGCATTTATATTATGATCAATATGCCCCGAACCAGATGAAATGAATACCGAAATTGACCAAATGCATGGAACGGGGGACGGGCACCGGTTTTCGAATCGAATCAATCGAGATGTTGTTTTCTTTTACGACACCTATTGACGTACCAGGTTGCATGTTTTTGTAGTCCCACACCAACCATCACTTTCAAGCTTGTGAGCATGATATAGGTCATGGAAATCAAGACAAGGATCCAAAAGAATCTCCATGCCAGAGGGCTGCATGGAAGGTGAGCAGCATAGACTGGAGTCAACACTCGAATGACCTTAAAAACACCAAAAAAGAAAAACCAAAACAATCAAATTAATTAAGTCATTTGAAATACTTGCCCAAAAAGCAACACTGAGGAAGTAATTAAAAGGAATTTGAAACTATTTAACATTAAAAAGATAAAGAAATGAAAGAAAAAGAAAGGTCACATATGATAAAACAATGTAAAACAACCGAGCAAATCATTACAGGCACTTACCACACAAGCTGGTGCAAGAGGCACAAAAGTGAGATTCTTCTTGCAATCTTCTGTTTGTATATTCAAAGTCTGAAAATGTTGACATTGATGAACTTTTTTAAAGTTCATTAATACAAGATTGTTGAAGAATTAAATATAGTCTTTTTTCTTATATTTTGTAATTTTTTTATAGAAAAAAAGGGTAATCTCCATAAAGAAAGAAAGAAAAAGTAGGAGGAAGCATGGCAAACGGGATTATACACGAAACAAGTTCAGAAGCTAAAACGACAGTTTAGGGAAATGATAAGCAATTCATTTATAGAATTATATACCTGCTTGCACAAATCTTCAAGAAACTCGGAGTACGCGATGGGCTTTATATCATTGAATTTGGCAAGGAATGAATGCTTTATGATATCAATTAAAATTTCACAAACGAAAACCACAAATGCATCCTGCAAAGTCATACGTGACCTATATGAGCAAGCCATACAAAGTCCTCTAAAGCATCTATGATGAGAAAGTATATCAAAACACAGAGTACTATGATTGTTTATGGTGTACTTACAAAAAGAAAACTTTCAAACCAAGGACTCTCTGCTTCCAAAATATTTTGAGCTAAAACGAACAAGAGACATGCTGAAATGTGGAATCTCTCTACTGAATCTGAGAGGTAAAATAATTTAATAGTTTATATTTGAACCCTCCCAAAGAAAATAACAGGAATTAGCCATATCCCAAATAGAAAACATGGAAAATAATATATGTTTATAAATGCTTTTCCATGACTTAACATGTGCATTTAGCTCAAGTTGATTATTACGTGCTAACTGACGCATGCGTATAAGATGTGTGCATTTAAAAGCACACTAAATCAAAATGGCCAATAAGAAGAATCCTAAACAATCATGTAGGATGGGTTTGCTAACTACATGTTCAAATGGAAGAGGACCCCTTTATCTCTTTCCCCCTCCCCCCCCCCCCCAAAAAAAAACATGCATAAAAGCCTTCTAATCACAAATCTCGCATTGGACAGGGAATAAGGTAGTTTGCACCAGCAAACAAGGTAGAACACAAGGAGTCATCAAAATATACTTCAAAAAAGTAAGAGAAGTCAGCAATACAAATATGATGGCAATGGAGAGAGAATGAGAGGTGTTGATAAAGGGAAAGTAAGGTAGAGGAATAAACTTCAACAAAGCGGCAAAATAAGAATACCTACATTGTATTGAAAAATAAATATCAAGAAAGAAATTTTTTAGCAAGGCAAGCCAAATATGACAATCATGACGGTAAGTGATATTAGCAGGTATATGGAACATCAAAGACCATGGCCATAGGCCATAGCATGGATTCATGTCTCATAACTATCAAAATGACTTTGACAGGAACAAATCTACAACATTTCCCATGAATCACAAAAACACCATCATCGAATCATCTAAAAAAGGATACATCACCGCCTTTTGTACTTTAAATTCCGCAAGAATCCAAAATATTATCCATCACAACTCACAATTTCCGTAAAAAGATATGTGCAAAGGGCAACGCACCTGAGTATGCCAGGCTGTGGATGTTATCCTTGCTAAAGCGTTTGAAGACATTGCTTTTTATCTCAGCGAAGTTATTGGATACCAACAAAGCAAATAGTGCATTATTACGAGCGACAATGCAAGTTGATAAAGTAATGGCCTGAGCTAATAAAATAAACGAATGAAGAAGTACTAGTAGTCAAGGAAACAAGATGAACAAGAATATTTACGAAGAGGAGAGAGAGTGAGATAGAGAACATGGTTTGAACATAAAGATATTTGAGAAGGCCATAGCCAATGCCTGGTCAGAAACAAATCTTCGAATCCAGAATCGCATGTTTTCCTGAGAGCAATTAGCTAGTCCTTCCGCGGAATTAAAGAGGGTTTCTAACACATCTCCACCAAAGCTTTGGCATAATTTATCAAATATCTGTATGTGGACACAAGAAACAATGTTATCCAAAATTCATCTGGATAATGTGAAAAACTATAGCTAATGGCGGAAGAATAAACATGAATATCATAGGAACACATGCTAGTTCCTTGTAGCAGAAACAGATCCTAATACGGAGGTGCAAAATAAATGATACCCTAAATTTCACTTAACAATCATGAACACCCCCCCCCCAAAACAAAAAAAATCTGAAAGACTATCTATTCTCACTTTTGAAGACCTAGATATGAACATGGAGAAATATACTATTCTAATTACAGGCCATCAGCCATAATAAGCACTTGTGATGGCAAATTGGAGCTCAATGATTAGAAGACTGGGAACTAAAATTTCTCATTTTTCAACGTATGAAATCAGAAATAATTAGTTCTCAACAATTAGAAAACTATGGCTATGTTCATCTCCAAGAACTATAAGAATATCTCCTTGATCGCTTCAGCAGTTATCTATCTAATACTCCTAATGTAGTTGTTGTGTCCTGAAGTTAGAAAAACCCTTTAGTGAAAACACCTTTGGTACCACTTGTGGAGTCTGTAGGGTTCTACCATTACTAGACTGCGAAGACCTAAAAATTTATTATTAACTAAGAAATGAATTCTTTTGCAACCTTTTGCATCCTGTTGATGGCGACACTCGATTAAAAATCTTTGGAGAGATAAATAACACCCAAACTTCTAACCAACATGTCCATCAAAGTCCCTAAATCCATTAAGTACCAAAATCTCAGACAGTCGATAGCTTTGTTTATGGTAACATCTGATCTATGCCCTTAAATGCAAACCAGTAAACCCCTCAAAGTAATTTGGAAAGATGTAAAAATGAGGTTCGGCCGTTCATTCTCACCTCCCACACATTGTAAACCACATAGAGTTTGATTGTTGCTTGACCACGAATCATGTGATATATCAGGCTGATATCTGGGAAGACAAAACTAAAAATTAGAAAAGAAAAGTAAAAAACAACTTATGAAATCAGTATACTAGTTCAACTCTTGGTCCATTTGTCGAAGAGCACTAATTATGCCTCAAAGTCTTAACAAGCAGCAATGGCACTTGAAATTATTTAAATGATTTTATATTACAAACATGCATAAAGTGATACTGCAGATATACCTGTTTGCCCCAGGACAATGACTCCACAGGCTAAAACAAGAAAGCAGCCAAAATCACACAGCTCTGCTGCAGAAGGCCATTTGAACTGCCTGCCCCAAACAAGGTTAGGTTATTTTGCAATCATTAGAAGTTACAATAATTGCACTATGTGAGAAAGTAGAATTATGTAGACACCTTAATTTCACCATGGAAAAAAAGTGGTTTAAATTTGTATTTGCCTATCATTAAAAAAGGAGACACACCCAATATGACATCCTGAAATTTTTCAGGTTTCCAATATTAGGGCCTATGATCACAATGCTATGCTTCAAGCTACTCAAATCTGGCAATCACAAGCCAGTATCTAGACTCATATATTCTGAAGGATAATTATTTGAACAAAGGGGGTTTCTCAAAAATTAAAAAAGAATAATCAAGAAAGGTAGCAGGAAGTATTAAATATATGAACGGATGGGAATTATAATAACCCAATTAAGAAAATAAAAATGATTATGAAGATTTTTCTTCAAGAAAAGTGAAGCTTCCAAATTAAATGATGAGTGATAATATATATGCATCATAAAAAGATAGCTAACCTTGTAGTCAGGAGCCTCCAAGCCGTAATCAAAACCCTTGCCGGCATGATAGTTAACAAGGACAGAAATGAATCGAAGCAGATGAAGAAGCCGACAGATATTAGCTGAAATAATGTCGCTACACTTGAGAATGTTTCAAAATATATAATGAACTTAAATTGAAGACTAAGGCATTCGACCAAAAGTAATAACCATTATTTCAACATTTAAAAAAATTGACTAGACATTCATTTTAAATGCACACAATTAAATCTTATTTAAGTTATCAAACAGAATAAAATGCAAATCAAAGAAGGACTGAAAATGAAGAGAAAGGAAACTTACTAACCATAAAGTGATAAGGTACATGTAGAGATCACCAACAAAATCCATATATTTGTTTTGTCTATTAGATCTATCAAGATTCAAAAAAGGAGAGCTAAGATTACCACTTCACATCTCCATGGCAAGCGGAAGATAGTGTCGTATACTCTTTCTCGTTCTTTTTCACTACCAAGTGTTGTGGTGTTCCGCAACGAATTTCCATGATGCATTTCTTCCAAAAAGTATTTCATCGGTGATTTACCCACAGTATAAACATCTGACATGCCGAGGACCAAACCAAGCGTATGTCTTAAACTTACATTTCCAGAAAACATAATTTACATAAACCAGAGAATGCATGTATAAAATATATAATGGTCAGTTTCCTTTATTTTTCACCAAGAAACCAAACTTGAGGTCAGAATCCTCATTTAAAAAATAAGAGAACACCTTTCTATGGAAAATTCCACTAAGAATTTGGACTGTATGTCAGCAGTCATAACTTTCTGGATCCCACATCATGAACAACGCTCAGAGAATAGTAGATTACAACATATAAAAATATGCTAACCAACCCGTTCAATAACCAGTATGTGCTTCTATACCTTTAGGTTCCCTTGAATCAAAGACACAAAAAAGGGAGGTTGAAACTTACAACTAAAGAAAAGGAAAGGCGGCTTTGTACAGCCTGCTGAAATCTCTACCTTGATGCACGCATAAGTAGCATTCTCTTTCATGTTATCTCTACTTTGATGCACGCATAGGTAGCATTCTCTTTCATGTTATGCAGAATTACGAAACAAATTTGCCACCAATTTTTTAATAACATATGTCAAATCAAGTATGCCTCAATCAGAAACTACTCTGTTCTACCGCTTGAATTACTCTGTTTGACTCAAGTACGGTTAATGAAGAGGCTTGAGGGATATCAGACCCTGAGCTCTAAAAGCTTCCTAACTCATTCAACCACTTTAATAAATTCCATTTGTTTCTCAAAAAGATTTGTAATTTGTACTCTGTAGAAACTCTTTTTCTCAGCCTCTACACTAACCATGACCATTTTAATAACTACTAATACTATCATATGAATTGGCACTCTATCATCAACCATTATCGTTTATACAACAGTTTATTGCAATAATTGTTTTATTTGATTGGTTAGGAAATAATTATTAATATCATCGGTGAACAGTTTACTTGTACTTGTTCCTTAGTTTCTTCTATTATGTTCCATGCACCAAAATAGATTCTCGTGAAATTCGAATCCAAAGAAATTCATAAAAGAATGAAATTGCATACAAACTCACAATTAGGATCCTCTGCGATAACTCGTTTCCAATCCCACGATGCAGCTGTTTGAAACGTATTCACCACGTTCCCATTCGCCATTGGTTGAAGCAGCACCGAAGGAAACGGCTCCTTCGAACTACTAACCTCCCCTCCACTCTCTCCCGCCTTTGCTACCGTCGTCTCCATCTCATCCCCTCCGCCAGCCACGGCTCCATTGACATTCCTCTGCCTCAGTTCTCCAAAACCACCCACATTCTGGCACACGCTACTATCCTCCAGCACCACGACGCTCGCGCCACCAACGTAACTGATCCTGTTAACATTTCCATTGTCTCTGATCCCGTTGTTCCCCAAATTCCAGACCGCCGATACGTTGCCGCCACTGCTCCTACGGTGTTTCACGACCGCATCTTCCGCGGTAATCGGATACTCCGTCGTGGAATCCTTTTTCCTCTTGTGTTTCTTCATCTTCCGTTTTTGGCGGGACGGATTGCCGCCGTTTGGAGATGACGGTGGAGCTGGACCCGATTGGTAAATTGAAGATCGGCTTCCCCCTTCTAAATATTTGTTTTCTGTTAAAATCTCGAAAGAGGGTTTTCGACTACCTGACGAGCTCAACGCCATGGTTAGTCGTTACACAATAACACTTCAGAGAAAACCATAATTAAAAGATATATAAAAATCTATAACGATATTTCAAAATTAGATTTGGTTCATTCTTTTGGTTTGTTTAGAATTAGGCTTAAACTGAAGATAAGCAGCTATTAACAAAAAAAAAACATTAATCTAAAATCAATTTGAACTGTACTGTTTGAGTAATTTATGATTTATAAATTTATAAAATTATTTAAATCAAATCAAATTTGATTTTTTATTTAATTTATAATTAATTTTAATTATTTTATAATATTAAAATAAATATTGTATTTAAAAAATATTGAAATAACTTTAAAATAGTATAGAATATGAAATATTAATTATTCTTATCCACTTAAAAATATATCTTTTTAGCACAAACTAAGTTATATCAGTGGTAAAATTGGTTGTTATTCCTAAAGGTCTCAAGTTCAAATACTAAAGATTGCAGGCCATTTAAGCGTTAATTGTTAAACAATGATTGATATTATTTAGAATAGATATTGCTGCTTGGAAGTACCTTAAATTAAAAAAATGTTTTTTAGAAATATTTATAAAAGGATTTAAAAATTATTAAACAATATTTAAAATTTATATATTAAAATAATTTTATTAAAATAACACCTAAAATCTCAAAGCTTGAAACTAATATAAAAAACAAAATTAAAATTAATCGAACAAAAAAATATACACTCCTATTAGGGCATTTGATTTTTTATTTTAGAGAATACGACAAATATTACAGTGATGTTCGAACTCGTCACCTCGAGGGTGACAAGTTTGATGATTTAATAGATTCGGATGAGTGGGTCCTACGTGAATTATTAATTTATTGTAATTAATATGATTCATCATCTCGAGGTGACGAGTCTATTTAAAAAATATTTTTAAAAAAATTTGTAAAAATAATTTAAATTTTAAAACATAAAATTAAATCGATGTGACGAGTTCCTTCAAATTAAAAAAATAGTCGTTTATAGTTGTTGGTCAACGAGAAACAACAACGGTCAATTGGGTAACAGTCTCCATGGAACTTGTCACCTCGACGTGACGAGTTTCACTGGATTTTTAAAAACTCTACCCATTTATAGTAGTTGATATTGGGGTAATAAATAGGAGTTTGGAGTTTAGGTTTTTACCATATTTTGTTACGAACAAATATGAGCAAAATTCGTACTTCCTAAAGAAATCTCGAAAAATGGCTTCTCGAGGTAACATATTACGCCTCGATAATATTCATATTTTGTCGATCGAACTCCATCTGGAAGAATGACAGAGCATTCGTTAGCGTGGGATGACATCGAGAGATCCGCATAAGCGGAAGATGATATATCTTGTTGAGTTAATCGATTGACGGAATCGACCAAGAGGGGGTGAATTGGCAATTAAAATTTTGTGGAAGCTTTTGCAGAAAATTGAAAGTAATTGCACAACGATTTAGAGTGATTCGACTTTATCAACCAAAGTCTACATCCACTACCTTAGCTATCCACACTAAGGATTTTCCAACAAATTCACTAATTTGTTCTTTCTTTTGAGGCCAAAGAGATAACCTTACAATTCCCTCAAGAATATACCCCAATTCTTGAGAACACTCTTTTCTCAAAGAGAATATTACAAATTTTCAAACTTACAAGAAAAAACTCACAAGGCAAATATGTTTGCACAATTCTAGAACAAAGAAAGAACACTCAAGAATAAATACAATTGAGCACAATAAGTGTTCTTGAAAGCAAAATGAATATTGAATGAAAAATAGGCTTGAAATGCTCAAACTTGAAGTTTGATGCTTTCTCTTTGATTCTCTCTTGATTCTAGTTGCTTGATGTTTCTTGTTATTGATCAATGGCTTCTAAGCTTGCTTAAATACACCTTGAATCACTTCTGAACGTTGGGATCATTAATGAAGATAATATGGCCGTTTTAGTGTGAAATCAATTAATAAAACAGTTTGGAGCGTGGGGGAATTGGTACCCCCTGTGGGGAATCGGTTCCCTAAGTGTAAAATTCAAATATTTCGACCGTTACACAGGGGGAATCGGTACCCCCTAGGCCCCCTAGGGGGAATCGGTTCCCTCCGAGCATACTAGAATTCTCGGAGCCAAACCATTCAGGGGGGAATCGGTACCCCTTGGGGGGAATCGGTTCCCTCTGAGCAATCTGGAATTTTTGGCTTTGAAATGGTTCAAAATACTTTGTAAAATTATTTTGAAATTGTTTTAAGATTAAAACTTAATTTTACACTTGAGTAAGGATTAAAAATGATTTTTGAAAGATTTAGAGTAATGTTTTGATATTCGAATAATTATATCAAATATACTTAGAAAACCTTATTGCACAATCTTAAAATTTATTTAACTTAATTTGTTATATAGAAATATCAAAATGTTTTCAACAATCTCTCCCTTTTTGATATAACAAAACATTTTAGTAATTTTAAGATTTTGAAATCAAAAACCAACGTTTTTGAAAATTACTCCCCCTTACATTAACATTTACTCCTCTTTAAAACTTTAACACTTCTCCCCCTTTTTGTTAAATCAAAAAAACATTTGTAAAGAATTTTAAACAAGGTTTTGAAATCATTTAGCCAATTGATTATATAGTTTAAGATGCTAAGATCACAATTAAGAGAAACGTTAGCCATTAGTTTCATAATCAATATTCATATTTAATGTGACATGACAAAATTGGTCATATTGCTAAAATGATGTAAATGATGTAATAATGAACACCAAATATATAAGTTCTCACCATCCATAAATCCAAACAAATTCAAAATCAATCAATCCACAAATTCAAACATTCCAAAATAACCAAAATGTTAAAACAATAATCTTTTAGTTCAAAGTTTTTAAAGCTAAGCAAAGAATCAAACATCCAGATCGGGAGGAGGAAAACGAGCTCGCATAGCGGCCATTTCATGAGTGAGTTCATTAATATTCGTGTTGGTTGCTTCATTGTTTGCACGCATCTCCCGATGAATTTCTAATTGTTGAGCTCCCATTGTGGATAAATGGGACTCTATAGAAGTAAAGCGCGAATCCATGGTCGCATATCGAAAATCAAATGTCTCCATAAAGGATTGAAAATATGGAGGCATTTGATGCGTTTGTTGTGCTTGCTCCTCGGGATGCTCAGGCTCATCTTCGGCTTCATCGATGTCTCGCATTAATTGTTCAAGTTCGGGATCGTCGTCAGCTTCTGGTTGTGCTCGTGAAGAACTAGCTCCCGAAGTATTTTCAGAAGATCGAACCCATTCACTGGTTTCCTTATCCTTTATCCATCCCGCTCTTGTTAAAGAAAGAATATTAATTTGTTTCTTTAGAGGAAAGGAGGCATCTAGACCTACTCTAAGCCCGGCTTTAGAAAATAGATTACTCAAAATGCAACCGTAAACTAGAGATGAACAGAGTTTCTTGTTAGGAACAAGATTTACGGTTTCAACAATTTCAGCAAAAATGATCTGAGGTAGGTTTATTTTAATATTGTTTTCGAAACAATGTAACCACCAAAGATCCAAGGCTCTAAGAGTAGAATAACGACCTCCGGATGGTCGAAACCACCAAGAAATTATTAGATGAAGAAAACGTTCATGAAGGTCTAAGACACTTGCACTATCCCTTCTTTTATAACGAGATCCTAAGATTTGTTTTTCATTTGAAATACCATCATTATCTAATCCGAATGCATTGGCTATGTAAGCCGAGTCAATATATAAGAATTGTCCTAGGAGGTAGGAACGAATTCCTATGGTTTCGGTTTCAGTTCGGTTTTTAACACAAACGACATTAGAATAGAAAATACGAACAAGTTGATGGTAGACAATGGGTTCAAGTTCAAAGAGTTTGTCAAATTTCCACTCTTGTAAAAGAGGAAGATATTTAAAATTAATATCTAACATAGCTTGACGAGAAGGAATACGTTCTTCTCTAATTTTGTAAGAGTCGAAATATTGATAATACCAAAAACGATGATTTCTAGGGCCAGGATGATTGAAGCACGAGTTTTGAATAGACAAATTAGGATCAATGGTATTAGGATTAGGAATTGGATTTTCAGGAATAGGAGGAGGATTTGGTTGACGGTGTGAGCGACTAGATGATGACCTAGCACGTTTAGGATTGGACATAGTTTAGGAAATTGGAATAGAATGGATAACCTGCAATTTAGAAAACACATGTATGCAATTCAATCAATCCCAAAATTCAACTGAGTCCTCAATATTTCAAGGTTCTCTAAATCAATCCTAATGGGCAAAGTTTTTGAAAACTTTTGAAAAATACGGTTTTGAGAAACAATATATGTATAGTTTTCATAACAACAACATAATTCAATCAAAACACAATAATTTAAAAAAAATGTATTTCGAAAATTTCAATAATTTTTAGAAAATTCTTATGTTTTTGATAAAATTAGTTGTAATATCTAGTTTCTAATCACTAAACAATCAATTCCCGATCACTATTTCCATCTAGAACTAATTAAAACTAGTCCTATGTTCAAAATCAATGAAATAGAGAGTTTAGAGAATTTTACCTTGAAGGATGAGATTGAGTGGATTTTGATGTTGTTTGCACGATTTTAATGATGATAGCAAGTTTAGAAGATGATATTTGAAGTGAATTCCGATTAAAACCGATGATTTGAGGCAAAAATGGAGATTTGAGAGTTTAGAGAGGAGAAACGGTGGAAGAAAGAAGAAGAAGAGGGTTTGAGCAAAAATGTGAGGTTCTGCCCGATAAATCCAGAACCCCAGGGGGGTATCGATTCCCCTAGGGGGAATCGGTTCCCTCATATGGGTATCGATTCCCTCTGCACCAAAATGCTAAAATCTGATTTTAAACACACAAAATGCTAAATTAATTTTCTCTAGTGGTATTGACAACTCATATATTGAAAATTAATCATGTTCAAACAATCAAATTATTCTTTAAACGATATTTAAACATAATATTAATTTTTTATCAAGAATCATAAACTCCCCCTAACTAATAGCAATGAATACAATTAAAAATTAGAATTTTTCATTTAGTCTTAAAAGTGCTAAAATTATTTTAAACACTAAGTGAAGAT